TATTATTTAAGGACATCCCAACTCTGAAACCAAGTCTTCTCATTAGGTCACCTGCCAAATATCACCAAGACTGCCTTTGCCTCTGCTCTGGATATTACAAGCTTCAGGATTAGATGTTCTCATCTTCTATCCCAGACCTAATGGGTCTCTTATTTCATGTCCTGTGGTCTGTCTGTTCAGTCCTCCAATTTCTGATGAGCTGGTCCCTAATTATTACTCCCAAGACTTGTTGTTATAAATTCTTGCTTCTCTTATAGTAGCCATCAATTCTGTAGATCCTGGCATGTGTGTAGATGTGAACTACAGTAACCTTTACTCCCTGCCAGCTTGCTCTGGAGCTGACCTCTGAACCTGGAGTTTACATTTTATCTTCCCACCTCCATAAAATCACAATTTACAGTAGATCTAAAGATGATTCAGTCCTTTAACATTTTTAAAATATTTATTATTTTTATTTTGTGTGTTTGAGTGTTTTGCCTGCATGTATGCATGTACCTCATGCATGCCTGGAGCTTGCAGAAGTTCTATGAGGTTATCAGACCTCCTAGAACTGAAGTTACAGGTGGTTATGAGCTATAATGTGGGTGCTGGGAACCAAATTCAGGTCCTCTGCAAGATCAGCAATTGCTGTCAACTGAGCTATCTCTTCAAACTCCAGCCTGTTACAATTTGCAAAGCAATCTTACCACAAATATTAGCTCATTCAAACTCCATAACATTGTAGCTGAAGTTTTCCTGTGTCCTACCTGGTCCACTGCCTCTCAGACCCAGGTAAACACACAGAAGCTTATATTAATTAAAACTGCTCAGCCATTAGCTCAGGCCTACCACTGACTAGCTCTTACACTTAAACTCAGCCCATTTCTGTTCATCTATATGTTGCCATGTGTTCTGTGGCTTTACCTGTGAACCATTACATGCTGCTCCCTGGATGGTGGGCTGGTGTCTCCTCACTCAACCTTCCTCTTACCAGAATCCTCTTTGTCTGCTTATCCCGCCTATACTTCCTTACTGGTTACTGGTCAATCAGTGTTTTATTAAACCAGTGTACAAAAGCATTATTTCACAGCATTTCCCCTTCTCTGTTCAATTAAAAAGTTTTAACTTTAACATAGTAAAATTACATATAACAAAACAGTTATCAAGCAAGAGTTACAGTTACAATATCTAGTCTATTTATTTTTGGCAAATTCAAAGAAAATATTCTATTTATCCAATATTTGTGAGTCTAAGATATCTAACTTATCTTTTATCATAACCAAGGAAAATTATAACTATATAGTCTTCAACTACATCAAAGACCTCAGAAGGATATAATATTACCTAAGTAAACAGGAAATGCACGGTAAGCAACTTCCAAAACTCTGGAAATGACAGAGACAGCTGGCTGCCTGGACAGTCATCCAAAGTTCTTCTGCAATATTGGGGCATCCATTTTCAACTCATAGGCCGAGAGTTTCTCAGTCACTTTTCTCTGTGTCCTATAGTCTGTCTGGCAGTTTCTTCTGCAAAGCAGGAACCTGAAGGACCATCTCGCCTCGTAAAGTTCAGTGGTCACCTTCCTATGGGTCCTGCATGTTCAGTCGATGCAACATTTTGTCAGGCAGTCCAGGCAAGAACAGTGTCTTGCCCAAATGGCTATTTTTTGCCAAAAAGAAGATAAACTCCATATAGTGTGTCTTCAATGTCCATCTTTCTCTTTGAAATAAATTGGTGCTGCCAGGTGCAGACATGTCTCACTGTCCAGAAAGTCCTTTTTCAAACATTTTAAATGCCATATTCTGTAGGTCTGTGAAGCGTTTGAAGATTACCTATTTAATTGAAATATATCTATGTATACCTAGAAAACTTAACTAATGTGACTGTAAGTTTGATTCTCATAGATGACTAAATATGAACCTGTATTTCTCAACTATATCCTACAATTTCAAATGAGTTGTACAAACAAAATACTTTAAAAAAGAGTAGAAATATACATACAGTATAACAAAATTAACTTTAAATTTGTATCAATAAACTAAAATCCATAGGATTGTAAAACATTTCAAACAAGTTGTTGCTCTTTAAAAGTAGATTCAATAATCTACCCTTTCATCCTATCATATCTATATTATCCCCTTTTCTTCTTTAGAAAGAGATTGCCTTTATAATCAACCCCCTTTAAATAAAAATAAACATTTATAAACAATATTTTGGCAATTTGGGCATAGCTTCTCATACTACTTCCTGCTGGTTTGTGGGTGCTGATAATCTTATGGGAATCCTGAGAAAATTAAGAATTATGGTCAAGTCCTGACTGGAGTAGTTTGTGACACTGCATCATCTGAACTAGTTGCCTTGAAGCTGATTTTGGATATTGGATCATCTGGAGACCTCTCAGGGGGTCTTCCTTGATCAAACCATTTTAGCCTGGAAGCAATCCAAAGGTTCTCATCTTCTGTGGAAACAAAAGCAGAACCTCTTTTCCAAAGCAACATATCCTTAGACATAAATTTTGAAATCAAGATATCTTTAAAATATATGTATTGATGTAACTCAGCAGTTTTTATAATCAAATGTCTTTCTGCAGTTAAAAATCCCAAAGACAATATAATACTCTCTGTGTGATTTCCATCTTTACATGGCTTATTTCTTATATTACTTTTACTTTCTTTCTAAAGGCTATTTTTAAAACTTTCTATTTCTTTATATAACTGTCTATATTCCTTTTCCTCTCTCTTTCAAGCCTATGTACATTTTTACACACACTGTAAACCATTTAAATTCTTGTTCCATCTGAATCTGCCTTATTGTGAATCTATTGCTTTAAACTGCAGCATTACTAGGACTGAAATAGCAGCTTTGGCTGCTGGCTCTGCCCACCTCAGCTCCCCAACATGGTGGAACTATGTTTAGTGCCAGCTCTGGGAACCAGGCTCACCGTCGACTATGGGAAGTAGTGGGTCTATGCTTCCATCCAGCAGTGTGTAGCCCAGAAACTTCTTTTTCTTTTCTTTTTCTATACTAGCAAAACCTAAATCTGTCACAACGCAGTATACTGTGTGGCTTGGAGACACCACTGTGTACCTTACCTTGGTGGAAGTCTACCATGCTGCACTCAAGCCCACACGCCACTGTGAACCTGCCATACTGTAGCTCATGGCTGGCCTGAGAGACACAACTGGGAACTTGTTTTTAGCTCCATATCAGAATCTTTTTTTCTTTTTAAAGCTTTCTCAGGTTTTAGGTCCCACACTTTGGCTCCATTTGTAGCTAGAATTTTTCCTGTGTCCTAGCCTGCCACTCACCAAATATCTCCCACTCATGTCCCCCCAAGTAAACACACAGAGGCTTATATTAATTAAAACTGTTCGGCCATTAGCTTGCCACTGACTCGCCCTTACACTTAAACTCAGTCCATTTCTGTTAATCTATATGTTGCCATGTATTCTGTGGCTTTACCTATGTGCCATTACATGCTGCTGCCTGGATGGTGGGCTGGCATCTCCTCATTCAGCTTTCCTCTTCCCAGAATTCTCCTTATCTGCTTATTCCACCTCTACTTCCTGCCTAGCTACTGGCCAATCAGTGTTTTATTAAACCAGTGTACAAAAGCATTATTCCAAAGCATAACATTATTTGTGATAAGCATTTTACTGCCCCTAAATTTCTGATATTCAGCAAATAATTAACTTGAAAAAACTTCTAAAGGAAGGGAAGCAAAGAATTAGAAACTGAGTTTTCTGCTTCCAGATACTCTGTAGAACACATTGCCAGTAAGGTCTGCACAGACTCCATATCAGCCCCCTTCTACCTGGAGCTTAGTTATATTTCTTAAGATAATGTGCCCAGCCCCAACCCCTTTCCTCTACCTTTGTACTTCCAAAAGCAGCTACTGCACATAATCACCTGAACAGCCCATGGAGAACTGGGCTCATTTGTGAGATCAGCATCCTTTCTAGGTCACTCTGGCCTTGCTATGTATAATTGCACTCTGTTTCTGGTCTCAGGTATCTCCTAGGTCCCAAACCTGACTTATGTTTGATTTCTTCCACACCCTCTTCCATAACATTTTACTATCTATTCAAACAGAATATTTTCTTTCTTTGTTCTTCTACCCATATGTGTCATTTGCATTCCATCAAGGCCCACACTACATCACTTTGAACTATCAGTTTTCTCTTTGATTTCATTTTCTCCCTTTCCATTCATCTTAAAACTGTACTGGGTGAATCTTGGTAACATATCACTTCTTTCCTTGCTTAACACTTTCCTGTGGTTCTTCATATTCTTAATATAAGACCTAAATCCCTTAACATGATTCCTCTGTTATGAAATGCTAGCCATCTTTAGATACCAATAGATACTTACTTCATTTAGAAACAGACAAACAAGCAAAAGACAAACAAGCAAAATCACTGTTATCTGGTTGTTGTGACCAAAATACTCAAGAACAACTTCAACTGAGGAATTACTATTTCAGTTCAGGGCATCATAGGGTCACTTGGGTCCATGAACCTGGGGAGAACATCATAGTGGAAGGAGTCTGTGGTGAAAGAGTCTCTTAACTCAAGGCAGACAGGAAACATGAGCAGTAAGGTGTCAGAGACAAGACACAGCCAAGAGCCCACTCTCGGGGACCTACTTTCTCCATCTGAGTCCAAACTCCCAATTATAGCCACTAGCTGGAAACTAAATCCCCACCACATGAGCCTTTTGATGGGACACACCACATACAAACCACTACAAATCACATATGTCCATTTACATACACTAACACTCAAATGGAATATATGATCAATACTTTAAAAAAAATTTTACCATTTTTAAAAGTATTGGATCATAGACTATCCTTTTTAAGGAAAGTTTAGAAACATTTATTTGCAATTAACATTCTACCTAAAGAATCAAGACATTTCCTACTTTTTTATCTGTGACCCTTTTAACTCACATTCCATTGCTACAGTTATGCGTATCCCTCTTGCCTCAAATTGACTACAGCAAATTAGACCAAGTCTTACCTTTGAATTTGACACCATCCTTCTCTGACTACATGAAGTCCAGTGAAGATTCAGAATTTAGCTTACTGTGATGTGTACTTGTCCCAGACATCCCACCTGGTCTTGGCTCTGTGTGGTTCATCCTTCTTAGTAAAAATGACTCAAATGTAGCACAAAAGTAAATATTTGGGAGGGATACATTTATAATTTTTTTTAATTCAACTAATTTTTAATATTTGATAATTGCAAGTTGCATATACTATCAAGATACGTGAGTGATGATTCACTATACCTATACATTTGTGAAATAATTACAACAGTCAAGCTGATAAATGCATTTTTCCTTAATATAAGTCAACACACATGTTAAAAAAATTCTCTGTTAAATTGTGTATCTTGATTCCTTACTAGCATAGTTGGCTTACTTACTGTCGTTACTCAGAAATCAGGCATAACTTCTGTACTGCTGATTTGAGGTACTATGTGCAAGTACTACATTATTATTCATGTTTTCTATTCTGTATTTTTTCTGCTAGGCTAATCCATTTATCTCCTTACTTATTAATCTTGCAATGTATGTCTTACCAACTTCTACTGACTATAATAACAATTCCAAAGCTATCTCACAATTTCTCAGAAATTTCAAATACTAGAATCTTCTGGGCTTTAACTACTATTCTTTCTTAAAATTTATCTGGCACTCAAATATTATACCTGAAGTTCTACTTGAATAACCTGTATAAAGGCAGAGAACAAGTACAAATGTGGTGGTTTGAATGAATGGTGGTTTGAATGAGAACAGCCCCGCAGTCTCATATATTCAAAAGCTTAGTCTTCAGGGAGTAGAACTACTGAGAAAGATTGGAAGGAATAGGAGGTGTGACCTTGTTGGAAGTGTGTCACTGGAGTTTGGCTTTGAGGTTTCAAAAGCCCACACCAGGCCCACTGTTTTTCACTCTTCCTGCTGCCTGAGGATCAAGATGTAGAACTCTTCAACTACTTCTCCAGCACCTGCCTGCAGGCTGCCATGCTCTTTGCCATGGTTATGATAGACTAAGCTCTGAAATTGTATGCAAGCATTCAGTTCAATGCTTTTCTTTATAAAAGTTGTCTTGGTCATGGTGTCTTTTCACAGCAACAGAGAGTACTAATGAAGACAACACAGTACCTTGATAGCAAACAAGCAGGTATACTAAATTATTTGTGGGTGAAATAAGATGGCTTTATTTTAAAGCTTGGCAACTAAAGATATAAATCTGACATGGGATTAAAACTAGAATAGATAAAGAACTCAAACAACTAAAGAACTAGAAAGCAAACAATCTAATCAACAACTTGGCAAATGAAATGAACACACAATACTCAAAAGATGAAATAGGTGAGGATAAATACACACACACAAAAAATAATGTTTGCTTCATGCACCATTGGAGAAATATAAATCAAAACTGAACTAGGATTCCCACCAGTCAGGATGGTGGTCATAAGAAAGGAAGAAACAGCCCAGACAGTGCAGCCCCAGAGACCCAACAGCAGCCTCCTCCCACCACCACCCCCTCATCAACCATCCCCTATAGCACCAGTGACCACTGGACCCATATGCCCAATCTGCACCAATTGGGAACAGGTAAGGACCCAGTCCCTGGACTGATCAGGCCAGTTCTCTAATCCCTAGGTTCTAGGGGCACAGGATGTCCATCAGCCAGTGCAGTCCCAGAGACCAGGCAGCAGCTTCCTCCCACCCCCTTGACACCATCCTGAGGCACTGGAAGAAGAGCAACCACTGAGCCAGAGACCCCATCTGCACCAATTGGAAGAAGAGTGACCTGTAGCTCTGCCTATTTGGATTAAAGGAAGAAATAAGTAGATAGCACTGTAAGAATACGCTAAACAACATAAAGAGCAATATGGTATCAACAGAACCTAGTGATCCTACAACAGCAAGACCTGACCATCCCAGAGCAGATGATCAAGAAGAAAACGACCTTAAAAACAATTTTGTGAAGATGATAGAGGCCCTAAAAGAGGAGATCAAAAATTCCCTTAAAGAAATGGGGGGGGGGAATGGAGGAAATCAATAAATCTCTTAAAGAAAGTCAAGAAACCCAAGAAAAAACAATCCAACAGGTGAAGGAAACAGTTCAAGACTTGAAAATTGAAATTGAGGCAATAAAGAAAAACTGAGGGAATTCAGGAAACTGACTGAGTAAATGAACAGAAACTACAGAGGCAAGCATAACCAACAGAATACAAAAAATGGAATAGAGAGAATCTCAGGTATTGAGGATACAATAGAAGAAACAGATTCATTGGTCAAAGAAAATGTTAAATCCAGCAAAATTTTAGTACAAAACATCCAAGATATCTAGGACATCATGCAAAGACCAAATCCAAGAATAATAGGGATAGAAGAAGAAGAATTCCAACTCAAAGACACAGAAAATATATTCAACAAAATTATAAAGGAAACTTTCCCAACCTAAAAAAAGACATGTCTGTGAAGGTGCAAGAAGCATACAGAACACCAAATAGACTGGACCACAAAAAAGTCCCCTCACTACATAAGAGTCAAAATACTAAACATATAATATAAAGAAAGAATATTAAGAGCAGCAAAGGAAAAGGGTCAAGTAACATATTAAGGCAGACATATCAGAATTACACCCGACTTCTCAATGTAAACTCTAAAAGCCAGAAGGGCCTGGATAGACCTTCTTCAGATACTAAGAAACCACAGATGCCTAGACTACTATACCCAGCAAAGCTTTCAATCACCACAGATGGAGAAAACAAAATACTCCATGGCAAGACCAGATTTAAACATATGTATCCACAAATCTAGCCCTATAGAAAGTACTGGAAGGAAAACTCCAACTCAAGGAAGTTAGCTGCAACCACCAAAACACAGGCAATAGATAACCTCACACCAGGAAATCCCAAAGAAGGAAAATGCACACACACATTACCACCAAAAAATAACAGGAATTAACAATCACTGGTCATTAATATTCCTTAATATAAATGAACTCAATTTGCCTATAAAGACACACAAGCTAAAAGAATGGATACAAAAACAGGATCCATCCTTCTTCTGAATACAAGAAACACACCTCAACCTCAAAGATAGACACTACCTCAGAGTAAAGGGTTGGGGAAAAACTTTCCAATCAAATGGACCTAAGAAACAAGCTGGTGTAGCTAGCCTAATATTTAACAAAATAGACTTCAAACTAAAATCAATCAAAAGATATGAAGAATGGCATTTCATATTCGTCACAGGAAAAATTCATCAAAATGAAGTCTCAATTCTGAATATTTATGCCCCAAATACAAGGGCACCTACATTTGTAAAAGAAACATTACTAAAGTTCAAATCACACATCAAATCACACACACTAATAGTGGGAGACTTCAACACCCTCTCTCACCACTGGTCAAGTCTGCCAAACAGAAACTTAAAAGAGAAATAAGGGAACTAACAGATGTTATGACTCAAATGTACCTAACAGACATCTATAGAACATTTCACCCAAACGCAAAAGAATATACATTCTTTTCAGCACCCCATGGGACCTTCTCCAAAACTGACCATATACTCAGTGACAAAAAAAAAATCTCAACAGATAAAGAAAAAATTAGAATAACCTCATGTATCTTATCAGACACCATGGCTTAAAGTTAAAATTAAATAACAACACAAAATGCAGGGAGCCTACAAACTCATGGAAACTGAACAATGCTCAACTGAATCACCACTGTGTCAAGGAAGAAAGAAAGAAAGAAATTAAAGACTTCCTAGAATTCAACAAAAATGAATGTACAAACTTATGGGATACTATGAAAGCAGTGCTAAGAGGAAAGTTCATAGCACTAAGTGCCTATGTAAAGAAATTAGAGAAATCTCACATTAGCAACTTAACAGCACACCTGAAAGCTCTAGAACAAAAAGAAGCAGACTCGCCAAGGAGGAGTAGACAACAGGAAATAATCAAACGGAGTTGAAATCAATAAAATAGAAACAAAGAGAACAATACAAAGAATCAATGAAACAAAGAGTTGGTTCTTTGAGAAAAATCAATGAGATAGACAAACCATTATCCAAACTAACCAAAAAGCAGAAAGAGAATATCCAAATTAACAAAATCAGAAATGAAAAAGGGGACATAATAACAAACAATGAGAATCATTATGTCATACTTAAAAAAAAACTGTACTCCACAAAATTGGAAAATGTAAAAGAAATAGAAATTTTTTGGATAGGTACCACATACCAAAATTAAATTAAGATCAGATAAACAATGTAAAATAGACCTATAACCCCTAAGAAAATAGAAGCAGTCATCAAAAGTCTCCCAACCAAAAAAAAGCCCAGGGCCAGGTGGTTTCAGCATAGAATTCTATCAGAATTTCAAAGAAGAGCTAATACCAATACTCCTGAAATCGTTCCGAGCAATAGAAACAGAAGGAACATTGCCAAACTCTTCTTACAAGGCTACAGTTATCCTGATACCCAAATCACATAAAGGTGCAACTAGGAAAGAGAATTACAGACTAATCTCCCTCATGAACACTGATGCAAAAATTCTCAATAAAACAATAGCAAATTGAATCCAAGAAAACATCAAAAAAATCATCTACCATGATTAAGTAGGCTTCATCCCAGAGTTGCAGGGATGGTTCAACATATGAAAATCTGTCAATATAATCCACCATATAAACAAAATTAATAAAAAAATGATCATCTCATTAGATACTGAAAAAGCCTTTGACAAAATCCAACACACATTTATGATAAAGGTCTTGGAGAGATCCGGGATACAAGGAACATACCTAAACATAATAAAGGCAATATACAGCAAGCCAACAGCCAACATCAAATTAAATGGGGAGAAACTCAAAGTGATTCTACTAAAACCAGGAATAAGACAAGGATGTCCACTCTCTCCATCCCTAATGTATATAGTACTTGAAGTTCTAGCTAGAGCAATAAGATAACAAAAGGAAATCAAGGGGATACAAATTGGAAAGGAAGAAGTCAAACTTCCCCTATTTGCAGACAATATGATAATATATATAAGTGACCCCAAAAATT